CATTTTGGGGGTCAACAATAGTGCAAAGCGTTCAAGTTGCTACAAACAAAGTGTTCTTCCTCAAAGTGCTGAACCTGAACACAACCACTGAGAGCTCTGCCAAGTCATTGCTGCACATACGTGCGACCAAAGCTGAATCATTGCACTGGCAACCCTACAGAGGTTTTGTGGGGGCACAGCATTCAAATATACCAAATCTGATGGATCAGTGTTAGAACTCAGGCAACACTGTCACATCTTCCCATCATTGTAGGTACAAGCCACCATGAGGTCATGACCATTATGCCCTAAATTGATGTCAAAACACTCATTATGCCCCCCAACAATGTCTGTGCTATTTGGGGAAAAAACTCCTTTGCGCCTCAGTGATTTTTCAAAAGATTTACTGTAGAAAAGAGGAAGGGAAGGAAAAAGAATGAGAGATAGACAAGCACTCTTCATGTTGCAGAAGAATTCACATTCATCTTAGAGCTGCACCTTAACAAGTGTTGGTTTGCGCCAACCCTGTCCACCCTTGGCAATGTGAATCTCCATCATCCCCCTTCCCCATATGATACAAGGCCAGAGAAACAATGTGTGGTCAAGAGCCCATAAGAGGCTGGTTTGCAGAATGTTCTCCTTCTTAAAAGGAAAAACAAATCAACATGAGAGCAGAAGGCAATGCCTAGCCCAGAGACACGTTTTTCTATCCTTGTTTTAGACTGTTGTTGTTATTAACGTTATTTCACATTTACTACCTTTGTCTAAAGAGAACAGGTCCATTATGGACAGAATGAGAGCCTGCAAAGTCCAGAGAGCAGGAAGCAGATGCAAGAATAGATTAGATCCTTTCGCCATGGCAGCAAAGATTCCCATCCTTGCTGAGTTTTCCCAGTGACCTTGTTAGAAATTCAGTCCTCTCCACCACACAAAGGAGAGGTTCCCCAGGCTTCATCAACCGCAGCCCCTCAGAGTTGCAAGTTGGATAACTCCAGTTGAACTTTTCCATTTCAACAAATCTATCTTATTGCATCCGCTGAGGATGCAAAGGGCCATTTGTAGAAACACTGATAATGGAGCTCGCAGCGAGCTATTTGTCATTCAGTGATACACAAACACTGAAGTTTCCAGGCAATTCCAGTGAAGTTCAGTGATTCACAACCTTTTGCTGAAGATCAACATGAGGGTCTTGAGAATAAGGCTAAATGTCATTGCTTTGACCACTGTTTAACCACCTTGTTCCTAAATCACTGGGGCCTCTTAAGTTTAACAATCACCCAGTGCATTCAATAATCACCCAACACACCCAATGGACAATGCACCATCCATTTAACTGCGAGACAATTCTAACGAAGCTATGAAAACTGAACACAATTGGTTGAGGAATGATGGCTTTAAAGGAGATAGAATCGGGCACTAATTTACCGTTGCTCATCGTTGCTCATCCACTGGGTTGCTCACTGCTCCTCCGAAAGATCAGATTTGTAGAAGCCTTTTTTTGCCTTTCCTTCCTGTTTTTCTAGCCTAAATAATGGAGCTGCCAGGCCAATAAATACGGGTCTGCTTAAGGTGGACTCCCAGTGACACATAGCTTGAGAATGCAATTCATTGCTCCATCTGCTAAATAACGCTTGCAGCTAGTTCACAGCACAGAGATTCAGAGCTGGTAGGGCAGAACAGTTCCTGGGGAAATGTTTATGAAGATTCTCAGTCATCCAGGTGGAATTGCATTGTTCAGGCTGAATGCTAGTCCTGGATAGAGGAACACCCTGATCTTGATATATGATGAATTCAGGGTGTTCAGATTCCTGATGCCTGGCAAATTTGAGAAGGAGATTTGACTTCACAACAGCTCCAGGGGCAGAGGGGGGGTCACTCTTCAGGCTAATGTTTGATTATGGGACCCCCCTAACCAACCTTTTAGACTGAAGAAGCTGCTTGGACAAGTAGCGAAACGTCTCTAACCAAGAAGAAGTCCAGTTGCCACGACTCAACCTCCAGACAGTTCCTGGGAAAGATTTTTTTTGCCACATCACACTTTCAAAAACAGCCCCAACTCTTCCTTAAAATATTGAGAGGCCCTCCCACCTCCTCTTGGATGAGAAAGCCTGGATTCCCTCTGCAACCTTAATTAACTTATTTCACTTATATGCTGCCAACTGCTGAAATCATTAATCTGGGGGGTATCAGGCGAGTAAATGGCACATGGGATCTGATTCTCACCTGGTGGGCCAAACTTCAGAACATGGGTACAGGCGACCACCCTTTGAAATATTTATTGCCTTGTAAAATATATCATGACTTCAGAAAGGATTGTAAATTCCCAGGCTAGACATTTCAATTCATCTCTAATACCCTAAAGTATGGCATCATATATTATTATTACAGTATTATTATTATTAGATGCACATGGTATCACTACTGCAATGTTCCTCAACCTTGGCAACTTGAAGATGTGTGGACTTCAACTCCCAGAATACCCCAGCCAGCCTTGCGGGCT